AATGACCATCTCATGCTCAGAGCTACTATGTGGGTGGTCAGGAAATCTGCAGATGAAACCGTTTGATCATGTGGACTTGCCAAATGCTTGCAGAGCAGAAAAAGGAAAATTTACAATATAAGAGTATCATGAATTCTTATATTCAACTTTGTGCTAATTACATACTCCCTCCGTCCCTAAATAAACCTCCAACTTTCCTTTTTCTTCCGTCCCAATTAAAACTTCCACTTTCCCTTTTTGGCCAGAATTTGTGGTTCACAACAATTCTTACACATTTCTCTCTCCTCTGCACAACTCTCCACCACACAATACCCACTATCTTAAACTGTGTGTCAAACCTATTTGGAAGTTTTATTAGGGACGGAGGGAGCAATATGTTGCTACGTACTACACATTACTTATGTTATTTAAAAAAAGTCCTTTTGCTGGAGCGATCCAATATTCCAATCTGAAATGAAGAAGAAAAATCAGAATAGAAAATCAAGATATTTACATACTATGTTTCAATCAAAATAATCACCAAATCAGTTAGTAGCATGATCAAAAGTGTCATTACACGCCCAACATAATGGTTACTAATGCTCAAATATATCAATATGACTAAACATATAAGATAGTATTAGATTTAAGATTACACGTTTTAATAATATTGTGTACACGGATGAAATCTCCCGCCCCCAGTTTGATATAAATAGAAGTGAAAATCAAATGAATTAGATGAAAACATCTCCAATTAAATAAGATTGTGAATCTACTGCTTTAGGCAACAAATGGAAATTGGAAATAGAAATGAAGTCGAATAGAAAAATATAACTCAAAATAGAAACAAATAGAAAATTCTGTACAAACCAAACAGGCAAGAAAATAGAAGGTTAACCGATGATCATCTCAAGAGTCAATTCTTCAAGTAAGACCGCCTGTGCGTGAAGAAATGAAATCTCTGTGGAGCAGAATAGTTCTGGCTTTTTGAGGCTTTACTATTTGCACTGATGATATCAACCTTTCTCACATTATTGTTAAAACTTAAAAAGTTTAAGGGAGTTTTCAATTTTCAATCTTAAAACAAAGTAGTCATAAACCTGTAAGAATCTTATAAGGCCAATCCAAACATATATCATAAATACATAACACTCTTACTCTCTAGCTATATGTATTTTAAAGACACGCACTATCACATGAAAAACTTTTTTAGCAATGTAGTTCTGTTATTAAGAGGATTAATTAACTGGTAGCTAATCAATGAAGGCATATAAATGAAATAAGCAACATTCCGAACCTTTTGGTGCAAACAAATATATTCAAGGTTTAGATTGCATATGATGTAAATTAAAGAAAAATAGTTGAGTTGATTTGGGTTGCATTTTCTTAGCAAGCTTGGGATTATGATATCCTCAACGATCTTTTTAATAGCAAAGATATTGAGTTGACTGGCAGCATTCCATCGAGTAGGCGTTCTGTACCGGACAAGCTGTGTTGGAGATGGGAATCAGGAGGTTCCTTCTCTGTCCGTAGTTGTTACAGGAGGTTGGTTGGTGAAGTGGAGGTTGTTACATTCTCTGTCCGTAGAATGTGGAATTGGCAGTTACCCCCTAAGATTGAAGTTTTCTCTTGGCTGGTTTGTGCAGGTTGTCTTCCAACTACGGAGAATTTGCAGAAAAGAAGAGTGGAGGTACCTGTTGTTTGCGGTATGTGTAGTGGGGTTGTAGAATCCTTGCAGCACATGTTTGTTTGTTGTCCGCTCGCGTGCACAGCGTGGCAGGCTGTGGGCTGGAGCTGGTCTGAGCAACTAACAGATTCTGTTATTGAACAGGCACAAATGGAGTTCCAGGAGAGACGATGTGATGGCTCGAAGAATAGGGCTGCTGGGGTATCTGGAATGAGGGGAACCAGCGACTTTGAAAGGGAGTTCGACTAGAGGCGAGCCAACTTAGGCAGAAAGCGGCTGCCATGGTGGAGTTGGGAGCAGGCGTGAAAATATGTCCGAGGTGTGGCTGCTGCAGTTCATGTTGATGCACCAGATTGGAGTCGCCCTCTTCCTGGGAGGCTAAAACTAAATTCAGATGCGGCAGTTCAAAATGGCAAGTGTGGTCCTAAGTTGGTGTTACGGGATGAAAAGGGGGATTTCAGAGGAGGGATGGCTTTACCGTGGAGGGGAAATATTTCTCCATTTGAAGTGGAGCTAGTTGGTATTAGAGAGGCACTTAGCTGGTTAAAAGAACATAGTTGAGATTCGGCTGACGTGGAGCTGATGCGTCCACGGTAATTTCAGAAAATTTGAAGGGGTCAAGTTGCTCGTCGGCGGGGTTGATAGCTGAAGATATTCGAGAATTGTAATTTCACGAGTTTAACCTTCTCTCATGTCAAACGAACATCCAACAAAGTGGCTCATACACTTGCTACGGCTGTGTGTTTTATGTCTGTTTGCCAGTGTTGGTTGATGGATCCTCCTTATATTATTTCTCATGTATTAAACAATGATTATATTAATGCAATCTGAATTCACTTTGGTAAAAAAAACAATTACAATTCAAATTAATAAAATTAACTGCATGTACTGATTTACTATAAAAATTGGAAGAGCTAAAGAGCATATACGTAAACCGGCCAGTCCACATTCCACAAGTTCTTTTAACGTCACTCAAAGAATTAAAGTAGAAACAACTAAATTAAATGTATTTAAAAGTGCAGAAGCAGAAAGAAATTAGTGGCTATTCAATATTGATGAGCCAATTTCAAAAAATGCAATTATATTAATGAAAAAAGACGTTTTTAATCTAAAGATCATCACGTAGAACTTCCGCATAGCCCTATTTTTCCAGATCGCTTAGTTTCTCCCTAGCGGCTTTGCGTCGCGTAGGGTTTTGTCTCCCTAGCGGCTTTGCCGTCACGTAGGGTTTTCTTCCGTTAATTGTTTGTGCGGCTTTTCTTCTCTAGGCTTCTAGGATAGAATGCTTTTTAAGGTACGGCTCCGGCTTTTGGAAACGAATTCAAGGTTCAAGAAACGATAATCATGCCTTCTATGGATGATCTAGAGAAGCGTTGTCTCATTCCTACACTTGAGGAGGAGGTCGAAGAGTTAGTTTCTGGCGAATCAACATGGGTAGAGGGTGGTTGTGGTAGTGGAGGCGGAAAAGACGACGAGAAGACGGGGAGAGGTGAAGGACTGAGCAAGGGAGAAGACAGATTGGCGGTCCGTCCCCCTCCTGAAGCGCCGCCTTGGAGCAATCGAGGTGAAGGGTTTGGAAGATTTATCAGTTATTTAATTTTTTATGGTTTTATTTTCACGTTATGCTTTATGTTGCTCTGATTTTGTTGATGTCCTTAGTTTTATGTCTACAATTATGATTGACAAGTCTGCTAGATATTTATATTGTTAGAAGGATCTATATGATCAGTGATTATTGTGTCACACCCGCTTTGTGGTTAACGATTCGCATTAGGTAGATTCTATGGTACCCATACGGTACCATACCTTTGCCTACATGGACCAATCAGAATGATGCAGTCGAATTATTTAAATCTAAATTAAAAAGGATATAATGATTTGGACCAATCAAATGCGTGGTAGGTACGGTACCCCATTTTTTATTGGGGTACCGAAGATGTCACCTTCGCATTATTCTTTCAGGGGTGATCGTCTCTGAGTCTAGCCGTAGGGTTGATAGTGCTAGTTGGTTAAGGATAGTTGTTGTCAGGGTTTCTCTTTTTGATGTCTTATAAGCGGTTTGTTTTGATGATAAAAAAACAAATCTAAAGATCGTCACATGCATGCATATGATTTTTTTTAATTCACAAGAGTCCATCTCAAATATAGATTAATAAGACAAGCAGAATAAAAATGAGAGAGAAAAACTCTTTACATGGATTGTGTCGAAGTAAGACTGTTGGTATATATTATCCCGGTTTGTTACTGTTCAAGAGTCCAAGACTTTACATATTATGGAGCCCTATCAATCAAGTCCTTTTAGGCCCATTTCGGCCATCCTTCCCACCTAGGCCCATCTCGACCCATTTAGCCGATTAGGGTGGAGAGCCCCCTCTTCCCCCTTTATCTATAAATAGGGAGTTTTCCCTCCTCATCAAGGGCTTCCGGCTTCTTCCCCAACTTACTTATCTCTCTAGAATAACTTCCCCATTAATGGGAGCTTGAATGTTGTACTATGTAATGGTGATGAGAGCCTAATGAGAATAAGATGGCTTGGACATTAGCCTAAAAAGGAGTAAAGGGTCAGTTTGGTACTCGAAGTTGCAAAAAAGGTGTCAAATAAATCCTTATATAGAAGATTATGTCCGGATGTGCCATTTGAGGTGGCTCCTGGTGGAATTTTTTGATAAAGTTTTTTTAGCATCTTATTCATTAAGTCTAGTTTACTCATACCAAATTTCAGCTAAACATTCAATCGGGAAGACATTCAAATGAATTCTTGAAGATAACTGCGCTTTCAACGGCACAATTATCTTCAAGAATTCATTTGAATGTCTTCCCGATTGAATTTGTATCTGAAATTTGATATGGATAAATTAGACTTAATGAATAAGATGCTAAACAATTTTCATCAAAAAATTCCACCGGGAGCCACCTCAAATGACACTTCCAGACAGAATCTTCTATATAAGGACTTATTTGACTCCTTTTTTGCAACTTCGAGCACCAAACTGACCCTTATACCGCCTAAAAAGTCCCGTGATTTTCTCCCTTTCACATTTATACATATATTTACTATATCGTGTTGGATTATACTCAACAAAGACTAAAAATAAAAAACAACATGTTCAATTTCGAAGTTGAAAGAAATCCCAAAAATATGTAGTCATCTAGATACAAATTAAATGAGGTAAGGGTCAGATTGGTACTCGAAGTTGCATAAACCTATTTATGCAACTTCGAGTACCAATCTGACCCTTACCTCCAAATTAAACCTACGCCTGGATATATATATATATATATATATATATATATATATATATATATATATATATATATATATATATATATATATATATATATATAACTTGTGCTCTACAACTTATGTATAAACCAATAATATTAAACAAAAAAAACTAAGTAATCAATCATTCTGTGAGAAGAAATACAAATTCTCTTGAATGAAATCCACCGCATTGTGTGATCTTCTATGATAATCATATAAATAATCATGAAGTCCGCATACTTCCAACTTTCTCCATAAATGTTTTCTAATTGAATAAATTAAAACTCTTAGACACCCCCATGCCTGAATGAACAACACTATCTCGCCTAAATTGGTACATGTGGAGACAATGTCCATAGCATCTTTAACTATTAAACTCTCTTCCCATGGAACGGAAATGCTATGCTTCTCCCATTTCATTGATTTCTCCAAAGTCCAAATATCCATTACTCGTTCTGCGAAACTGTTACTTTGCATATGAACGACGGCAAGCCGGCCATCGATTTCCATCCATGACAATCTCAAGGACGTTGGGACGGGATATTTTTTTACTTCAATGCCCGGGAAAGGTACCGACCCGATATTCTCGTCTCCAACATTGAAAGTGACAATTTGCTGTTTATTTATTGTTCTTACAATCAAATAGATAATACCGCCAATGTGAACACCCGCATCGGGGTACCTAACCAAAACATTACTAATCTCCCTCCATGATTTATCCACTCCGAGAGTTAACACACAATGTTGCCTCTTTAAATAGCCACTAAATAAATCATTCCAGATTTGCAACTTCAAAACCTTGTATTTTTCTGAAACCGGATCAAATCCCAAGCTAGAACAAGTGTAGATTTGACTTTTTGGGCTCGTGGCAGCTCTTGGAAAGGATATATGTTGCCTTGTTTAGAATGACATTAAGTTCATAGTATAGAAAAGAGAATCACAACTTTAGTAAAAATGAGAACAACAATACCATAAAGAAAAAATAGTATTTGGAGTCTGTAGCTAAAACTTTACATTTTTTTTAGGAATTAAATGACAAATTAATAATCAAATATTAAAAATAATACGCTTATGGCATCATAATTATCATCAATGACCTCATTATATGTTATATACACATCCAAAATACTTCTCAAAATACACTCAAGTTACCTTATTTATAATTTATAATT